TGGACTAAATTTAAGTGAACTAAAACATGTTTAAAGTTGGCTTGGAATGAACTAATAAATTAGTGTTGATAAGGAGTAAATTCTGTTCGAATTTTGGGATGCATGTTCAAGGGTTTTAGGTCAATATTTGGGTGAAACTTAAAGAATAAAAGTTTTTCATCTATATTGCAAATAACTTCTTTTAAAATTTCTTGGTCATTGGATTCATGTACAAAGAGTTATACCCGATTTAGTATGGATAGCTCTAGACAAACTACTACTAGGCAAATTGCTCCCTAAGTTTCAAAAATTTATAATTAATTGTGTACTTGGTATTTAGACCTAATTTTTGGATATGTTATAAATAAATATGTCTAGTATCTAAAATAAAATGAAAAAGATTTAATTATGTTCTAAAATTGAAAAATTGTTTACTCGATTAAGAGTTGCCCGGTAATAAATCCTAAAACAAAAAAAAATTAGACTTAGACAAAATTAATAGGTTTGGAATAAACTAAATGAGCTTAGACTAAATAAAATGAAATTAAATAAAGTCAATAGACCTAGGATAAAGTTAATGGGCTTGGATTAAAGTAAATGGACTTGGACCTTCTTTTAAATATTAATGAAACTAATGAACAATATTAATGAGCGGAAGTTGTGTTCCCGCTATGGGTATCATGATTGGTATGTGAGCAATGGGTAAATTTTGAGTGTGGGTTGGATCGTGAGTATGGCATGAGAATGAAGGGTTGGTACCCAAATTTGGTTGAATGTGATTAAATATGTCATCACGTGCATCATGTGCATAGTGGGTGGTTTAAGACAAGTCAATTGATTGAGAAATGGTTTATACATATAGATTTGATAACCTAACTAGAATAAATGGGTATTAGTAATTCAATACTCTAGGTCGTGTGCCTGCACTATTAGACGATGGATTCCCGTTAATAGCGGTTACAACAAGGGATAATTCCGTTGTAGCGAGAAGATGATCCGAGGATCATCTCGGATGAAACCAAGCTGTGTGCTTGCACTATTAGACAATGGATTCCCGCTAACAGTAGTTACAACGAGGGATAATTCCGTTGTAGCAGAAGGTGATATGCGGACCACTTGGATGATAAATAGAGTAGATCGGCTAATATCCGGGATACCCGAGATTAAAATTTATGAGTATGGTGGGAAGTCAAAACAACATTGCATATCACGTGCATCACCCTACTTACCGAGCTTCGGCTCACTTCGTTGTTATTTTTTTTTTGTCATGACGAGAAAAAGGACAAGTTGGTACGGATGCGGTTGGCTCCTCCTAACCGGCTCATGTGAGACACCATATATTAGTTTTTTATTTTTTCTGTAAATTTTGGGTATGGAGTTCGTGAGAAATTGAATATTGCTCGTAATATTAATGTATTTAATTATGTTATGTAAATTTTATCTTAAGAAGTTAGATACGTAATGTCTTCGTTAAAGTTTTAAGAATATCATAAGAGAACTACTTAGAGTTTAGGGTATGTCGGCGTAACGCGCTTCGTCTAGTACTCATCTTGGGTAGTGAAAATATAACTAGGGCGGGAGCGTTACAAGTGTGCTTCGCACAATAGGTCTTCACCATCCATTTTTTACTTTTGCCATCAATAGAAATCGGTAGCTTCCAAGGATAACTTTCATCTTTGCAAAATGTTCTATATCTATAACTATCATTCTTCCGAAGCTTCAAATCTCTCCTGCTATGGATGGCATACTTAATCACGGTAGCTTTAACTTCTTTTTGTTCCTAAAAATCATGCAAAACTGAAAATGAGGAAACTTAGTTATTGGATCATACCTAAACAATCTAGTTCTCTTCCTAATCCTAGGTTCTTCATTACAACTAGGTATGTGTTCCTCTCTTTCTTCCGAATTATAATACTCCTCATTCAATTTAGCTTCTAGGTTTGCCAACTCTACTCTTAATTTTCTTCTCTCCTTATAATTATTCTCTCTGTTTTCACCAAGCTCGTCCCTCGTAGTTCCCTCCATATTTTCCTCCAAGTTTCCCTCTACATTTCCCTCTATAGTTCTATTTACTTTACCTAAGACTCGCTTTTATCTTTTTAACCTTTTCTCTAACTTTTTTTGATTCCTCATCATCGGATACCCACTCTATATCCACCCAATATTCAGCATCTTCAACATCATCATACGGCTCCTCATTTGGCTCTACACCTGTCTCTTTATGAACATTTTACTTAACCCCACTAAAGTGGACATTACTACCTTTACCGGTATTCACCACACATTGCCTACCTATATGGACTTTACCATCATCATCTTTATTAAAATTTTGCCTAACCCCACTTAAATGGACAAGCACTACCCTCATTTTTATTCACTAAATCATGCCTACTTATATGGACTTTATCGCCCTCATCTTGTTCCATGATACCGGAACCACGACCTATATGGACAGTACTATCGATAAAACTAGACACATTTATTTCTTCAATTTCATCATCATTTTCATCTTCCTCGCTCACAACTAGGGTTACCAACCCACTACCCATGTTCATTGATTCCATGCTTACTACATACAACTTTTGGGTTATTATAATCAAGCAAGAGGTGTATTAACTCACTTTTTTCAAAATATAAGTCAACAATAATTCCATCACACAAAATTTCTATTATAGGTAAACAACTAATATCATCCTTCACTTCCTTAATACTCGTTCAAAAGAAAATTTAAGATCAACATCTCTATAAAACACTCGCCTTAAACTTCTCATATCCATGTTCCTTAGTCATATCTAGCAAACCTTTAAGCCCTATTAAGTCGGGGTCTATATTTTCTCTCTTAATAATCTCTTTTTCACTAATAGACAAGGTAAATCCTTTTCGTAATTCAACCCCAAAATGAAGCCTTAATTTAGATATTTTACCTAGTACTATTAATGAGGAGACATAAAGGCAAACAAACAAAAAAACAAAGCAAAAATTATAAAGTATCCGAGATAGACAAAACATAAACAAATAAACAAAATCCATTGAATTCAATAAACAACAATATTGACAAAACTTATAATCGACAAAACCAAGGGAAGACGAGTACTTTGTATAAGCCATTCAATTCAAAACCTAAAACCCATAACAGAAAAAACCAAGATAGGGTAGTGTTTTCTATAAGCCATTCAATAAAAAATTTATAACCCATAACCGACAAAACCAAAACCCATGACTACAAAACCAAGATAAGGCAGAGTGTCTTTCATAAGCCATTCAATTCAAAACCCAACACCATAACCGATAAAACTAAGATAAAGCATGTTTTTCATAAGCTATGTAATTCAAAACAACAATATTCATAAAAACTCATTCAAAATGCAATTGTTTAACTTATTAACCCCGTACATACCGATGAAGAAGCTAAAAAAAGATGCTCGATCGAATACACTATCAATATCCTCATTCACTCGATAAATCATGATGAACAATTAGTGTTCTTCTAATAATTAAGAAATAAGAAGACGAAACGAGACAAAAAGAAGAGATTGTTTACTCGATTAACCTCGTACAAACAAATAAAAATGCCAAAAGAGGATGCTCAAACTAATACACTACAAATGTCATCCTTCACCGATCGATCATGATAAAGAATTAAGGTTTTTCTTAAGGTTGAGAAAGAAAAAGATGAAACGAGACGAAGACAAAACGACATAGAAAAGATGAAAGAAATCTTGTTAGGAGGAAAGATGAAGAGGAGAATTTCAAACGAAGGAATTTCAAACAATCTTTTTAGTATGGAAGACGAAAAGAAAAAGAATTACAAACAATGGTGTGTGTTGATAAATCTAATGTCCGTTCGTTTAGTTTGTTCATTTAGTTTGGGATTAAATGGGTTGGGTTAATTAGGTCTTTTCACTTTTTTTTATTTCACTCCTTTTTTTATTTACAAAATCATTTGAAAACTTTTTCCATTTTCATTTTGATTTATACTAACATGATAAGGGGCCACATTGCCACATGTCATTGTCTAATTAGACACCGTTAGTTTTAACTTGCCACGTAGGATGAACGAGTTAACGGTGTTATAACGGAAGGTCTCAATCAATAAATTTATAAGAGCATAAGGTTTCAATCAAGTTGAAAAGTATTAAAAGGTCTCAATCAAATAAATTAGGATTGTACAGTGATCAATTATGGGGTAAACCCATTCATGAAAGAAAAGGAAAAACAAACTTTTGCTGAACGGGAACAAGCAGGGCACCTCCCAGTTATGATACTCAACTGACTAATATTGTAAGTCGAAATGGACCCATTCCTCAATCGTAAACAGGAAGAATGAGATTTTCAACTGTCGGCAAGTTGGTGGGACTTGGAAACCAACATAATATAATTTTGTATTGATACACGCTCAACTGATTTCTTGATGTTCTTTTTCCCCAATGTAGTTCAAATTGATGTTTGACAAGTGAACTCTTTCACAGGGAACAGTCTGGCTGCACTTAATGTTTACTCCAACAACTGAAGTGGATGTTCCTCTAATATTTTCGTATTGAACATCACTGAGCTTTATCCGTGACGGCTGAAAGAGAAATTGAGAAGAAAAATTAAGGTAAAACTATTGATTACACTACTCCCAACTCATGATCGAAGGAGGAAAGCAGCCTGTGTTAAAGGGATCCACATTGTAAAAGAAAACGAACCGATTCTTTGTTTCCGTAGAATTGATCAATAAGAATGGGGTTTTTAACTCTATCCATGATAATATCCTCGAAAAGTATGCCTGAAGCTTGGCTTGGCGGTGATCCTCCAAATGTTTTTATTCTGATTCCATTGTCCGTGTTGTTCAAGGTGCAGTTTTCACAGTGATTCCTCTTACATCTTCCTCATCTTGGTACTTGCCAAGGCTGCCAATACTGTTATATATGGAAATGTGAAAAAGGTTATAAGCTACAGTTTACTAATTTCGAAGGCATGATTACTGACTACAAGTAGATACATATGCAGCTGAAACATTCAATAGATAGATAGCATAATTACCTGATTCCATCTCCAGGGCCACAAGTTACATTTCTGACGCGGACATCTGTGCATCCCCGTATGATGCCAATGCAATCATCACCAGTTCCAATGACACTATTAGATCCATTCACTTGACTGGATTGGTTTATATGGATTCCATCAGTGCTGGGGCTATCGGCAGGGGCAAATATACGAAGATTTTTTGCCTTGATGGTCTGCGACAGAACGATGGATATGTGGAAACCCATGGGGTTAACAGAGGTGATCTGTCTTATAATCCCATTGACTACTTGATTGAATTTCATAGACTGCACCACAAGAAGAAATTAAAAAAAGAATTATTATGAAATTGCAATTAATCCCAAATTGTCTAATTAGTAATTATTAGTAAGTGCATGTATGTCATGATCATTTTGCTGCTTACACTAGGGAACCTGGCACCGCCGTCGTTGTATCTCCAGACAGCATTGCCTTGGCCATCAACAGTGCCAGTTCCAGTAACCAGCAAGCCGTTGATCTTTTCAAATAAGATCCAATAATCTTCTTCATACATGCTAGGGTCTGGTACAGCTTTCAAAGTTCCTGCGATTTGAACCTTAATGGGTTCTGGACCTTGGCATGGTCCCTGAAAGATAGTTGCCCCTATCAAGAAGGTTCCCTTGGGGGTAAGTAGCCTTGCCTTTCCCCTATAATTGCATGCAGCCCTCCATGCTCGGATGAAAGACTGCAAAGGTCAACAAACCCACATTTTAATCAATTTGATCATCAAAATTTCTTGATGAGAAAAGAAGGGCATGTTCATCAAATATACATGGCAATTATAATAGTTTAAAGCCCCATCAAATGTGAGTTTCTTTTAGCGAGATCATTAAACTTGCCACTTATTGATATCATGAGCACTTATATCCTTGTAATAAACTTTGCTTCTTGCTTAGCTTAGTACATAGAATCCAAAATATTAAACCAGCTGACCTGTGCGTTATCCTTTCTTCCAGGATGCGCTCCATAACATAACACGTACGTTAAAGCCTTTTTCGTCAGGATCCTTGCTGTTGGCATGTCCATGGTGCCACAGAGCCTTTGAAACAAAGGAGGCCACTATAACGCACAAAATGAGTAAGGCATCTGCCAAGGATTTCCTTGTAAATAATATGGATATTGCCATTTTCTCCAATTTAAGCTATATATATAATTTATATTTCTTGCTCTCTAGCTATAAAATAAAAGGCTTCGACTTAATGATTAATTAATTAATTAATGATGGTTGTCTAATGCTGTAATTGTGAGAAGTTGTCTTCCCATTCCTCTTGCTTTTATACCTTGGCTTAGTTCGTTGGAGATTTAATTGAATAGATACATGTTTAGACCGCGTTTTTTTTTTCTTTTTTTGCCTTAGGAAAACAGATTAATTTGCACAGTTAAATGCTACCTTTAGGAGGTTCAACTCTATGAATACATGTTTTTGGTCTGTACGTACGTTAGGTTCCGCAGTTCTGTTCTATAATTAGTGTCAGTTTCCCTGGATTTCTATAATTAGTCAATTAAGATACAAATTTTAATGTCATCCTTAAACTTTAGTTCCCTGAATTATAGTGGTGATTTAAATAACAAGCTCATCAAATTAATAAATGGATTGTGTCTTTTTGGAAGTGAGCAGGCAATTAGGCAAATTTAATTTGTTGGAGTAACTTTCACGGTTTAATGGTTAATTAAAGAAAAGGATACGGTATATATAACTGTTTTTTTTTTTTTTTTTTACCCTAGTGGTGAGCCGTGTTTGAAAAATTTTAAAATATTTAAGTAATCATTATTATACATATACAATAGCTATTTTATAGATCTATTTTTAAAAAGATAGATAGATAAAAAAAAATAGATCTAAAAATCATAAAAATGATAAAAAAAATTTCATCTAAACTCTTTTTTTTTTCATATTTATCTTTTTTATGAAGTAATTTACATTAATTATTTCATGAGATGGTAATATAAAATTTCTTAGTTTCAGCCTACCAATTTGCAGATAGTTAACCTTGAGAAATACTAACAACTGTCCATCGATTTATTTGCTGTTCCATCTCCTTCTTCCCGAATCCTAATACAGTCTAGCATCTCTAAATTGAACACAATAATATTTTCCGCAAACCTTCGGATTTTCCCATTTTCTTTCGCTTCGTTACTATTATAACTTGCTTTCAGCGGCTTTTTCTTTTTATTTGGTTTAATAACAAAAATACCCTCTAACTATTACGATTTGATAATTTGAGACCTTTACTATCAATTTAGATTAATCAGATCCTAATTATTATTTTTTTTATCAAATATCATCCTTAGTTGTTACCTTTAACGTTCATATTGTCAACTTTTTTATTGTAAACATTTCAGTTTTTCTTTAAAAAATTATTAACTTATTTAAAATATGATCTAAATAAAATTGTATAGAGGCTATTCACTAGATTTCAAAATTAACTACACTCATTAAAAAAAAATTGAAAGTAAAAATAATCAAATAAAAATATATATATTTAAGTAAGAAAGAAAAAACAAAGTACAATTTTTTAATCAAGTATTATGCTAATATAACCATTAAATTGATTATATTAGAAATAAAATAAAATATTTAAATATAGTATTAACTATATTGTCATTAATATAATTTTTTAAATTTTTTCTGATCAAGTATTTCTATTGAATTTATACTGACATAACCATTAAATTAACTAGATTAGAAATAAAAAAAAATAGTTAAGTCTAATATTTACTAGATTCTTGTTGATGTAAATTTTTAATTTTTTTCTAATTAAGTATTTTTAATAAATTTATATTGATATAACCATTAAATTAACACATTAGTATGCTGACTTGTCCATCATATGAATATGAATATTTTATTTTATTTCTAATCAAGGATTTGTATTTTAATTTTTTATTTAAATATATGTACTTTTATTTTTTTATTTGATTATCCGTACTTTCAAAAAAAAAATGATGAGTATTATTAACTTTAAAATCTAATGAATAGCTATTATGCAATCTTATGTAGATTGTATCTTGATTAAATTAAAAAAAATGTTAACCATCAAAGGGTTGATCGTTGACGGTTAACTCTTTGACTTTTACAAGTAACGGATAAATATCATATTATCGAAAAAATAAAAATTTAAAGTTTCAATTAATCTAAATTAACTCTTTAACTTTTACAAGTAACGGATAAAGATCATATTATCGAAAAAATAAAAATTTAAAGTTTCAATTAATCTAAATTAGATTAATAGTAAAAATCTAAATTGTAATAGCTTGGAGACAATTTTTTCCATTAAAACTTTGTATTTTTTGTTTTCTTTCATTTTAGAAATAGGAGTGCATGAGGTATTTTTAAGACGTGCATTATTCAAATTATTGAAACTAATTTTAGTAATTGTTTTTTAAAAAAATTGATTAATTAAACCAACTTTTATGAATAATAATATTTACAAAGAAACAAGAATTATATATATATATATATTCTTAAAACTTGGTTTTTTATATATATAAAAAAAAGCACCTTTTTGTTGTTGTTTTTGAAGGTTGGAAATATATACCATTAAACAATATTGAATTATTAAGAATAATAAAATCTTGATAACCTAGCTCCGAAAAAATAAAAGCAAACTCGCAGACTCCAGGAAGCAGAAGAAGACGATGGCTCCAGCCATGGTGACCCGACCACCAGTGAAGCCCCATTCTATTCCTCCAAACAGACAGACTCAAGCATCACTTACAATAAGAGATACTGCTTCAGTCTAGAATGGTGGGAATGGAGAGGTCTCGGTCTTTACTATTCCAGAAGCTGCAGATGCAGGCAAACAGATTGGCACAATAAATCTGAATCTGGTATCAAACGAATCACAACATCCTAACAAGAAAACGAGTTTATCATATGCTGAGGCAATTGTGAATGGCAACGAAAAAGAAAGGATTGCGGCTACTGTCAAGTATCAAGGAACTAGAATCAAGACTCATAAATCTTATTCCCTAAAGGACATTCCCCTTGCCCCAAGACAACTAGTGTACATTAATGATGAGCTAGCATATTTATTCTCTTCAATGGAGTTGGAAACGACTGTGACTCAATTCAGTCACATGATCATTCTGAAGTTCTCTACACGAAGACTTATTCTCAGGGACATTCTGATACATATTCACCGATTGTGGATGCTCAGTGGTGAACCCGTGATTGGATTGCTGGACCCTAGGCATGTCATGGTGAAGTTGGAATCGGATGAGGATATAAACCGTGCTTTATCTAGGGAAGATCACAAGATCATGAATTATATGTATAGAGTCTTTAGATGGAATGCAAATTTTCAATTCAGGAGTGATAGTCCTCTCATTTTGGCTTGGGTAAGATTGCCTCACTTACCTTTGCTGTATTTTAACCCATCATATCTGAAGCGCATAGGGGAAGTCATTAAAGGCTTCTTGAGGGCTGATGATAGGACCATTGCCTTAACTGATCCCATGTATGTACGGATTTATCTTGAAATAGATGTCTCACAGCCTTTGCCTAATAGAATATGGGTGGGTAGTTCTAAAGAGCAAGGATTTTGGCAAAGAATTGAGTATAAGGGTAACTTAATCTACTGTAATGGATGTGGTCTCATAGGTCATACTGATGATACATGTAGGAAAAAAAACAAAGGGCTCTCAGAAGTTATAAGTGGGGTGATGAAGAACAATGGTAATCAGGTTATCAAGCGTAGAAGTGCTCACGGAACTCTGAAGGATACTAACCAATGGGTTCAGATGCAAGGCAGGAAGTAATCGGATATTCCTATCATGGAGAGCATGCCAAAAGGGAATAGATTAAATTAGGTGAGGAGGATGGAGAAAGGAGAATCCAGTATACAAACTAAAGGACATAGGGAGGGGACAAAGTAGAAAGTTGAGGGCGTAGAAGTGGATATGGAAGTGGACAAAGGAACTAAGTCTAAGGAAACTATCGATGAAGGTAAGGCTGGGAAACATGCTGAGTCAATCCTGGTTCTTACTAAGCAATTTACAGTACTGGAGTTGGTAGAGGAATCGGGATGTTTAGAGTTGGAAGTTTTTGAAAACATGAAGGCTTTACCCCGGTGACAGCTTAGCTGAACCTGGGTATAGGGTGCCTCAACTTTTATAAAAAAAAAATATAAGGATTAAGCATAAGGCTATGTTGCAAGGTAAAGCAAGGAAAACATGGAGGATAAAGGTAGGTACGACTGGCAGTAAAGAAAATATGGGTGAGTATGAGCTTAGGGGAAATAGGCTGTATGAAACAGATAGGAAGGAAGTACGGGTGGACAAGAACAAAGGGATTGAATGTACATATATAGTCGGGAAAGTGGCATCTTCACATGAGAAATCGGTTGTCACTGAAGTTATGGGGGCTATGGGTAGTGATAGGTATCTATGTAATGCGAATGGGGGAAAGGAATTAATGAAGGGCCAGCAAATGGGAAAAGATATTAATAGGAGACAACACGATACAAGGTTGAGTGAGCTTCAAACTATAATGCATGGAATCAGTGTGGGCAACAAATGCATGCACAAGTTATATGGACAGAGGTTAATATGGAGGAATTGGATAAATTAGTGTGTCAGTTAATGGCAAAGTATATGGGAATGAGTATGCAATGGTAGAGGAGGTTTCAAAGAAAACTAGGGAAAGTTTTAATATAAACAATTTGTATAAAATTGGAGGTCTAGATGGTCATAAAATAGCTTTGTGGAAAAGGTCAGTTTCAGAAGAAGAGGGAGAACAGGTGACATATAATTTTCATCGTCTCTCATTAGGAAGTCTTGATGTTCACAAAGCTGAGCTAAAGGGTGTAAAAAGAACATTTAAGAAGTTTCAAAAATTAGCCAAAAATTGAAAACTTCAATTATCGGAGTGTGGCAAAAAGACAAGATCAGTTTTTAAAGCATTAGGCACAATCTTTACATCAAATTAAATATGTCGGTATTTTTTGGAATGTTAAAGGTATGGGTAACACCGACACAATTAATTGCGTTAATGCTTTGAAGAAACAACATATGTTGAAATTTTGTGGTATCATTGATCCCAAGTTAGGTGGCGATAGAATAGAAACTATAGCTAAGTCTATTAAATACAAGTGTTTCGGGCACTTTAATCTAGTAAATAATCATATATGGTTGTTTTGGGATGAGGATATTTTGGTGAGCTATGAATCGATACACAAATAAATAGTTACGATCAATATGTTGGGGCATCGAGTGGGGAAACTAAGGGTGTCGATAGTGTATGGTTGTTGCTATAGGAGGGAACGCCGGGAGTTATGGGATGAACTTGGATAGGTTGAATTCCTTATCTCAATAACTATAGATCATGGGAGGGGATTTTAACATCATAGCAAATATGGATAAGAAGATAGGCGGTAATGAAGGATCATGCATCCTATGGAGGTGCGGAATAAACAAAAAAAATTTCTCCATCTAAGGCCCCAAGATCAAGTCGTTGAATCTACTAACCATACACATATGAATAATAAGCTATAAGTTAAAGGATTACCTCTTGTAGCGCAGATCTAAATTCGTTTTCAATAAAGTCATCCAAGTGTTCGGCCTCTATTGATGATCCACGCAATCCAAGTATCCACAAAGAAGCACTCAAAATTAATGAAATGCTAGTTCCACCTTTTCTAATTTTGTATTTCCTTTAGAAATCAATCTCGTGTAATTTTGCAACAACCTTAAAAGAGAGGGAAATAATATTTCTTGATAAAGCTTAGGAGAAAACTATTTTTTTCTTTATTTTCTCTCTTGGCCGTGTATCCTAGGTAATTTTTTTGGTTGGCCAAATTTTCTCTCCCTTTTTTCTTTATGTTGGCCGAATATCGTCTCTTGCATTAGCCTTTATGTCGTACCTCTCCTCCTATATATAGGGGAGAGTTTTCTTGTCCTCTAAGGACAAGGAGATGGGCGACTATGAGTCCATAAAGGACTTTAGGTTGTTGCTTCCTTATCCTCCAAAGATGAGAAGTTATTTTTATATGTGGACTATTTGATTATTATCTTTAAAATATTTAACCTTATCCAATAAGATTGATGTTTATCTTTAAAACATTCAACCTTATCCAATAAGGTTGATGTTTATCCTCCCACCAAAATTATCCTTAAGCTTTTAATTAAATCTAATTGGTCAAAACTATTTTAGTCCAATTAATTTATTTATATTATCCAAATAAAAATCCTTAGATTATTTTAGCGGGGTTCACATTAGGAAATAATTTTTTAAAATACCCTTTAACCTAAATTAGGAAACTCCTTTCTTTTTAGGTTCTTTATTTCTAAATTTGAAACTAACTTCCAACTTAGAAAATCGATTTCTAAAATAGAAAACTTTTCATTTTAGAAAACTTTTTATTTAGGAAACTCTTTCTAAAATAGGAAACCTTTTATAATTGAAAACTTTTTCCAATATCTTTGCTTCTCATTTATAATGTGAATACCTAAACTTATATGTGTGACTCAATAGGCTCCTAGATATATTGGTAATGTATCAAGAATAAAAGACTCCTCTTTTATCTTTTGACACATAAATCAAAATTGGCCTTTAGTAGGGCATCATGAGTATCCAATTCTCTACGAGGATTAGTTAATCCATTATTACCTTTCACGAGCATGGTTACCAAACAATTTAGTCCTCATGTCAACTTATTATAGTGTGATCTCAAACTTAGTTATTAGTCTTGTTCTATTATGATAACATAAGTTTTTTCTTATTTCTAAATACCTTAGCTCTTAGAGTATACCAATTATACTCTATTGGTGTACTCCTAATATGGTTATAGATTTCTTGAGTAGATATTTATCGAAGTGCAATGTGAAAACTCCTTTAGTATACAAGGAATGACATGTCCTATCTTAGTCATACACCTATCTCTATTAGATTCCTAGTGTACCCAACGAATAGCCCACGTGCAACCCATTAATGGATCCATCGAAACGAGTGTCAATGTGCATAAGTCTTCCAATGAGATAACCGTGATGACTTCAAGTTTAAGGACCATTTGTACCAATCTCGTATGAGATTCCTATAGACTAAAACTAAATAGGTTCTCATGGCGAGTCAAGTCCGAGTGATATATTCTCTAACATAAATCACCTAAGTGCTCATTTTGGCATCACCATGCCATTAGGTGTAAGATCTCTTACTACTATCACATAGCATGAGCATAGTACTCACAAGTCTATCCGTATTTGTCAATATCTCGTTCTTGACAATCTATGAATTAGGACATTTAATGATATCATTTATGTGCATTGGTATTTGTCTCACATCTTTCGATCAATCACTATTGCAAATGCATATAATAAAGACTTCTATCTAATTCTATTGAACATGTAAACATAAGAATTAACAAAATGACTTCTTTATTATTGTCAAAATAAATAATGCAATGATACATTAACTTAAGCTCATCCATACATGGTTGGATCTTAGGCACCTACACTAATAGGCAATAGTATGGACATTCAAGGTATGTTAAAGTTTAATAAGCTGTTGTGATAGAATCGGTATAAGCTGATTTGGGTTATCAAGGTAGAAATTTTACTTGGTATAATAATCGGTCGAGATTGGCTAGAATTTGGAAGAGATTGAATAGAGTAATGGTTTATAGCTCGTATATTGCTAACGAGCCAAACCTTGTAATAAAACATTTGGGGAGAATAGTGTCAAATCATAACCTATTGGTGATTCGAGTACAGCAGAAAAGTGATAGAGAGGCTCTTTTTGGTTTCAACAAATATGGATGGAGCATGAAAACTTTAGGAGTTTGTGTGGGTGTTATAGGTTACTAGTGTGAGGGGTTCACTCGAAATCCTTCATCGAAGTCGAAACATCTAATAAGCAAATTAAGAGTGTGGAATTAAGAGATTTTTGATAACATTCATCGGAAAATGGAAGTGTTACAAGATAAAAATTTTCGAGTTGGACATGAAGTAGGCAAATAGGTGGAATGTTCAATCGGTTGACACACTTCGGGATAGAAAAATTGAGTTAGCGAGGTTTAGTCCGATGGGATGAGGATATGCTAAGATAGAAAGTAAGGATAAAATGGACTACATGGGGGGATAAAAACATAAAGTTTTTTCATGCATATATAAAAGATAATGTGAGGAAAATGAATTTTCGATCTGCGAAACAGGATGGCATCTTTATGGAGGATGTGTCAAAGATAAAGGCTAAAGCGAGTTTTCGGGCCTTATTTTTTACCGGCCTAACAATAAACCATGAATCCTTGTTTATAGGAGTTTGTAGGAACATTACTCGGGACATTAATATGTAGTTGACGGGTGTTCCGGATGAATCCGAGATAAAGAATGCCATTGTTGGTCTCAATATATCTAGCGCACCTAGATGGGATAGGTTTACTGGTTACTTCTATAAAGGATGCTTGGAATGTGATTCGGTTTGATATCACTACTGACGGTTTAGGACTTTTTTCATAGTGGTCAACTTTCAAGAGGTATGTCTTCTTGTATTTTGGTTTTGCTTTCAAATGTGGAAAACCCGAGCTCTTTAATTGATTTGAGGCCAATTAATCTATCTCATTTTAGCTATAAAATTATTTCAAAATCCTAGCAAATAGACTGAATGTGGTACTACCTAAGTTAATAGATCCGGAATAAGTCGGCTTTGTTAAAGGACATAGCATCATGAAAAACGTGACACTAGTTCAAGAGTTGGTGGCAAGCTTAAATCGAAAGGTTCATGACAATAACCTTATTTATAAGCTATACATGTCTAAGACTTATGATAAGGTTGAGTGGTCATTTCTCTTAAAGGTTATGAAGGTGATGGGGTTTATCGAAACTTGGTATGACTTGGTGTATAAAACTCTTAGTAATGTTTGGTACACAATCCAAATTTAAGGTAGAAACTTTAGACTCTTTAAATCATCTAGGGGAGTTAGAAAAGGGGATCCATTATCACCTTTGCTATTTTATCATGGTTCAATAAGTCCTCTTAGTCAATTTGAAAAAATATATGATGGAGGGACTTATTCGGCCTTATAGGTTACCTAGGGGAGCATTGGTAGTCTCTAACTTGTTTTATGTAGATGACATGCTATTTTTCATGAATTGGTTTAAACGATTTTTGATAAAGTTGAAGGGTTTGATGTCAATGTATGAAGAAAGTTCAAGGCAATTACCGATCGTGGCTAAGAGTGATTTTTACACTCCAAGAAACATGTCGGCGCAAAAATAGAATCTATAAAACAACATATGAGATGTGATCATTTCTAATTTTTGTTATAGTATGAGGAGTCCCTCTCTTTGTGGGAAGAAAATGGTAGTTATATTTTCTTCCATTAAAGATGAAGATTAAGCGACAGATTAGTATGGTGGAAGGCAAATCTGTTATCCTTTGAGGCTCGATTGATCTTACTTCCAGTAGTGATCGGTAGTATACCAATACATATGTTAGCGATTATTCCGAGTGCCTAAGGTTATAATTTAGAGAATTGAGAGGTAGGTAGCTAATTTTTTATGGAGCTCATCTAGAGAAAATCGTCACCATTAGGTTTCTTGACGACGAAATGTGTTCACCCATATCGAAAGGTAGGTTGGGAGTTCGAAGTTTAAGACAAGTTATGGCAACTCTACAAGCAAAATTAGCTTGGTCCTCTATGTAGGGATCAAGCCTTTGGCCTCGATTTTGCGAGCAAGGGATGGGGATAATGGAAAGCTCTTCAAGTCGTCTTCTCATATTTAGAAGACCATTGTACCACACTTATCTTTTAGTTTCGATCAATCAATGGATTATAGAAAAAGGCTCAATTCCTTTCTAGGGTGTTAACCGGTGTGGATTAGACTAGAATCCTCATTACCTGTGGTCGAAACATTAATGGTGAGAGAAGCTTTTTAGGAGCTTGCCAATTTTTTACCTTGTTTTCCCAATCGGTATTGTGGAGGGGTGCGACGAATGAGTTTTGATGATATGATGGAGGATAGGTTGATTTACACTCGACTAAATCAGGAGAATTTAAGACTATAGCATATTGGAACCGGATTCGAATCAATCCCCAAAGGGGTCTTGGGCTACTAAGATTTGGAATCCCTACATACCAACAAGTGGTGGCTATTTTTATGTGGAAATGGTTTAGAGGTGCATTGGCGGTTGATGCTCTCATTTAGGATCTTCACATTCCATTAGCTTCAATTTATTAGTGTTGTACAAATCATAAGGTAGAAACCATTACACATTTTCATTGATTCTCGGGTGGCGAGACGAGTTTGGGGACACTTTGGGAGAGTCTTTATGTGCGGCATAATGTGGCTTTCAATAGTAGAATGCATGCGAGCATGGATGTCCTCTCTAAACACCTAATCGGGTATGTGTCGATCGGTGCTTTTTGTTTTGTCTTATAGGAATTGTGGAAAAGTCGATGTAAATCGAAATATGAGGATAATCTAATGATAGTATGTGATATCATGAGCGAGTTACGATAAATATTCGAGATATGTGCGACTTATTTATCCCAAAAAGCCCTTTAAATGTCGATGGGTTGAGGAAGTTACGGGACTTAGGTATTGATCCAATTTAGCCGAAAGTCCTAAGAGGGAAATAGATTAAATGGGAGCCTCCTCCCTTTGGTAAACTAAAATTAAATGTAGATGGATCGGCTAAAGATGGATTTTATACGAGTGGATGGGTACTTCGGGATTCCTCATGCTCTTTTGTAGTAGGCTTTGCGCACTTTTATGGGGAGGGTTCCAACTCTAAGGTTGAAGTGTTAGCTATTCGAGATGGGTTAGTTCTGTGCAAGGATTTGGATCTACATTCAGTGTATATTGAGTCTAATTCAATGGTTACTATTTGTACTATCTTAGGCACTAATAAGATCCCTTGAGCTTACATGTATCACTTTCAAGAATGTCAGGAACTAAAAAGCTCTCACATGTTTAATCATATCTAGAGAGAACAAAACATGATGGTGGATAAATTGGCCAATAAGATGATTCAATAAGAGTTGGATATAACTTTTAGAAGTTTTAGTTAGCTCCCTTTAACGGTAAAGATTGTTAGTAAATATGATAGACTTGGCTTGTTTAAGTATATCGTGTCCTCCCATTGCTAGGGATTAGGTTTCCTTATCCCTCAATTTGCTGGATAAGGCTGGATTGTCTATCTTTATATTTCTTTCCTTTTTTATCAATAAACTTATCACGATGCCGCCCTGTTTCGAAATATATATATATATATATATATATACTTACTAAACTCTCTTCTTTTTTTGTGTCCTGAGTGATAAACGGCATGTCGGGTGTAGAGATTTCGCTTTTGACTTCTTCTCTTTCATTTCCTTTCTGCAACAATAAATGGTCACAAGTTCAGTGTCCTACTACAAGTCGATCGCAATTTGACGTTCCTCGGATCAAGAGAAGAAGGATCGGGATCGTAATGGCATCATCATCAGCTTGCGTTCAAAAGCTACTAGAATTAGGAACCAAGATCGTGGCCGTTGGCCGTAACTACGCTGCTCACGCCAAAGAGCTAGGCAACGCCGTCCCCAAGGTTATTATTATTATTTTCCTAATCATTAAACTGATCATTCATCCTTTTATGGAGTATATAGTTTGAAATATTTGTGTTGAATAGGAACCGGTGTTGTTTATGAAACCGACGTCGTCTTTTTTGGAGAACGGAGGTACAATCGAGATTCCGCATCCGTTAGAGTCGTTGCATCATGAAGTGGAGCTTGCTGTTGTTATTGGTCAGAAAGCCCGTGATGTGCCTGAATCAACTGCCATGGATTATGTTGGAGGTTGATATTTTACTTTTTTTCTTTTTTTAAAAAAAAAGTTCAATTTTTATTTTCTGAAAATTTAAAATACGAAGAAGAAGTAACATTTTTTCTTTTAAAGGGTATGCACTTGCATTGGATATGACTGCTAGGGAAATACAAGCCACTGCTAAGGTATAAAAAAAATGATTGTGATTTAATCTGTGGTAATTGAATGAAGAAAATGTTATTACATGCTTCTTTTTTTTATTATTATTACTATTTCTTCTCTTGCTTCTTATAATTATATGAAAAAATAAGGAAAATGCAACTGTGTTTTTGGGGAGGAAGCTGTCGAATGTAGCGAAAGTGAAGGGTATGCTGGCAAAGATATGAATTTTTCAACAATTTTGTTAAGTTGTTGTCTAAGAAGTGTATGTTTCGGAGTATTGTTTGTGCTGTGTCGTGTACTCTCTTTCTCTATCTTTTAATAGTGAGACTGTTATGGCCAGGCATTTTAAGTTGGCTTCATTAATGGCTCTTTCTTCGTATTGTTTGTCAGTCCGCAGGGCTTCCGTGGACTGTGGCTAAAGGGCAGGACACATTCACACCTATTAGTTCTGTTGTAAGAGATGAATTGGACTCTGTTCTCTTTTTGTGTTTCCCTGTCTGATTATAACCATGTTTATGAACAATGTTTTTCAAATATTGAGGTTTACTCCTTACACCTAGTTGATAATGGTCAGTTATTAACAACTGATTTGAGAAAGATGAGGCATTGATGGAGTTGTGCAAGATAAGTTTAAATAAGTATCACTGTGGCTGTCCCATTTGTAGTAGTTATGAATGCCAGCACTCATTGCAGCTAAGAGATATGTGACCATCAAAAACCATTGTTGGAGTCATGTTAGCAATATTTTAACCAGCAATCGTTTTCTTTTTCATTTTTTTTTTTTTAAAAAAAAAAGAGATACAGAGATTTTCTATCTATTTAGGGTTTTTTTTTCCTCTGCTGCAAATATGTTATTCAATGTGTTTTTTATCTTGATCACTTGCTCAACTTTCAACTTTCAAAACCTGTGTGCAGCTTTCCAAGTCAAATGTGCCTGACCCTGACAACTTGGAATTGTGGTTAAAGGTATCAAAATCATCATTTTACATGCTCAATCTTGAATGTTCTTTCTCAAATGGTGTCAATTGGATTTATTGGAGGTCAAATGGATCTGTTTCAACTTAGGTAGATGGAGAAATACGGCAGAAAGGTTCCACCAAGGATATGATGTTTAAAATCCCATTTCTCATTAGCCACATTAGTTCTATCATGACACTCTTTGAAGGAGATGTTATATTAACAGGTATCATGGGAGACTTTTTCTGTTTCTTTGGTTTTTATTATTTGTTTTTTGCAAGAGGATTCCATTGTAAACACAGTTGCATGTGCTCTTAGTCAAATGATAAATAAAGATGCTTGAGATGTGTTAATCATCATGTTTGTGACAGGTTCTTTCCTAGATGTGGTTTCTTATTCTCAGTAGTCACACAGTAATTTTAGATGCTTGAGATACATCTGTCATTTACTGTTTTTGAGGCAAATCGTGTCGCTGAATTTTGAGATCTGTCCTACTTCATTCACTGATATTTTTTCGGTATGTTATCTAATTCATATTTCTACTATTTTGGCTTAAACCCCCACAGTTACTTAAGACGTTTTTACTTTTATACAACTTAATAATAATTTATGGGAAAAGTTGGGCTTACCCTTATTTATAGTGTCCAGATCTTAAGATTCATTCTTTTAGACTTGCAGAATCCATGCAAGAACGAAACCATTTCATTTTTTAATGAGTTCTCCGTTTCATTAGAATATATGAACACTGCCAGCAGCTCTCTGGCTTGGTGTTGTCTTCTGGCCTTCATATAGGATCTATCTACTATATGTAAGTCTGAGAGGAGATTTTTGGTACATATATCAGATTAGTGGATAATTTCTCGTGGCCATCCATGTGAGGGAACTTTGACATATGTCTTCCTAGATTGATCAAATATGTTGGCATTTGAAGTTTTGAGTAATTTGCCTTTGTATCTTTTTGTGCAGGCACTCCACAAGGTGTCGGTCCTGTAAAAATAGGTCAAAAAATTACAGCTGGTATAACAGATCTTATTGATGTGCACTTCAACCTTGAGAAACGTAAAAGGCCAGGAAGTTGTTGAGCATCCTCACGTCCTACTTTGAGGGTTTTTTCCCCGGGGAAGAGGGGAGGGAGTATGGGAAGTCTTTTTCCAATTCTGGACACAATGTTGAAGTTCCTTGCACAAGGCATTACTTTGTTGGAGTTGCTTGGTAATGGAGTTTAGCATCAATCACTGTATTTTGTTTTTGAGATTGGATCTTCAGGAAGAAGCAAAAATGCATTTTTCATCATTGTGCTTGATCATGTTAGAATAACGAAGTTATGAATATTCCTGGCTTCTTGGACATGGAATCTAGTTCGTAGAAAGCATATTCAAGTTCTTTGTCATAAGAAACTCTTACTAGATGCTTGTTTTGGTTTTGCTCAACAATTATGCACATTGAGATCAGGACTCTTTCTTCGTTCTCCGCTGTTTGTCCTTAACTCGTTTTTTTATACCATGATTATCCGGCATCCTAGCATTCATGTAGCTTCGGTTGTATTTGGTGCGAGCTAAAACGATGAAATATTACAAAAATAAATATGTTAGAAGGCATAAAAGCTCTCGGTAGGCGTATCTAGATCCCTCTTTTCATCTCATGTCATCTTTGAAGGGATGCTAAATCCATCATTGATCATGCTCAACGAGAACCACGCTATAGTTAGTCTATGACGCAGTTCGTGTGGCCAATCTATGCCAAATTTTAGATTCTCTCTTGTCCAAGGAATATGTAACCCCATTCGGTGGCATAAAAGATCTGTACATTCTGGCTTTGTAGCTTTCTGTAAGAACTAAGAAGCCAATACTTTTCATCAAAATGTTTGGCACTTTCCATACTAAGTGGGTGCAGCATCAACAAATTCGCTCATAAGGGCTACGAGTACTTTATAAGACACCCTAGTGACAGTGCCTTTAATTAAGTGCATTTATTTTCCGCACTGCAAAAATATCATATTTATTTGCACTGATAAATGCATGATTCCTCAAGCAAGGGCGTGGAGTTTTATGTGTAGTGTTCCACTTTTGAGCCTGAGTGAATCCATAATGAATAAACATATCACAGCATGCTTATGCTTGGAGCAACCAATGCCTGGAGGTTAAATAAAGCAACAGCTATATGTTGGATGTGAAACAATACAGGATTTATTTTGAGCGCACATGAAAATTACAACAGCCAGTTCTGTGAACTACCACAAGAACATCCCATTCAAATTATTAAAATTCCAAAGCGGCATGCAAGCTTTTAAACATACAAATGTCCACACTTGCATTCTTCATCTCTTCAACAAAAGACAACAGGAGGAGATCAAACAAGCAAACTAGAACTTCTGAAAGAAGTCATAAACGTGCTTATTGATCTCATCGGCCTTCTCTTCATTGATGAAATGACCCACACCTTCCGTTACAACTACGTCCTGTAAAAATTTGGACATCTCTTTTGAACCCGCCCTTGGCTATATAATCCTTGGCATTGAGAGAATTATAGGTGAGGTCCTGATCATCCACGATAAACTTAGCAGGAACTTTTATTTGAGCTCCAGTCCAAGGTGCAGAAAGTTCCTAGTTCCTGCAATGTGGAAAGAAAGAGGAATTTCTGAGAAAAAAAATGAAGCAAGAGCGATGATGGGGAAATGGGGGAATAAAACCTTTAAAAGGTCAGATAACCAAAAAGAGCAAAGGTCACCATGTCAAAAGCTATATAACATGCTGAAACACTAGGACATATTGGTACTCCTGAGTATGAATTTCAATTCAATCTCTTATTGAAAAGCAATCAACTCCCATTGTCCCCATCAATATGCAACAGAGACAAAAGAGTAACCAAAACCCAAAATACAATGTGATGAGAGGTTAGAGACACATCTAAATTTCGATTGGAACAAATTTTTAAAGAGTAAAATAGCACCAGACTACAGGAAATCTTTAATCAGCGTCACCAGGAAAGAACAACAAACTGAACAAACTTGGAAGCGAAGCTTACCAGTCAAGATTTTGGTAATAGTTCAATCCCCCAGTAAATCCTTTCTGCTCAAATTTGCTGGTGTAGTACTTGCATCTTCTTCAGACAACCAAGAGGGCAATACAATTGGAGTGTCCAGAGGCTTTTCATGAAACCCTTTACCTTTGGGTGAAAAAAGAGGACCCAGAGTACGGAAGGTTAAGAATTCCTTGGAAACTCTCTCTGCACCTATCTCTGCAAACTCAGCTTCTATCTCTCCAGGCTCCTACAAAAACAATCAAGCAGCTCCTTCATTAAAATGGATTTTGCACATCATTATAAAAAGCCAATCATGATAAACTATACAAGACCAAAACTAAAACTTTTCTCAAGTGTGCCAAAGAACAGTTAGATAATAAAGTTGCATGATGCTATGAATTATTATTTAAGCTTCAGCTAGAATTATACTGTTAAAGAATCTCTTCAAAGATGGGCCAGTTCAAATTCTTAACTATTAGCTACTTACAACCAAGAAGCCTAATCTATTCGCCCCTATTAAACAATCACTGCAAATAGTAAACAAACATATAAAATAGATGATAATCCAATTCCTATATTACATAAAGGTCAAAGATTTATGAGCATATTAAAAAAGAGTTTAAAACTTGACCATAATCTCTTCATATGACAAAAGCAAAGATAGGTGAATTCAAATTATCAACTACAATTAACTATAACTAAAATGCCTCATACCTCTTAAATAATCGCTTCAAATAGTAAACATTCCTACAAAATCTACTAATCTAATTCCTCGAAAGATTTGCTAGAATAACAGCAAAAAGTTTACAACTTGACATCATAAAACAGTATGCATAACAAATCTACCAAATTTACTCCAATTGACCCATTCTCTCATCAAGAAAGCAACTTTCAATCAGGAAAAAAAAAAAACATCATCAAAATAACCAAAAAAAGAACACCAAATAACAATAAAACAAACCTGGAATCTGCACATGTAATAATCACCACCATAAACAGCCTCCAAAGTCGCAATAACTTTCCTACTAGGACTCCTTGTATTAAACAAAACACTCATGTTAACCAAAGCTTTTAACTCTATCTGGTCTAAACAAACACAAATACCAAGATATCAAAGCACCCCAATCATGCCCCACAACGAAAACCTTATCTTGATTCGGAGCCACAACATCAAGCAACCCAATCAAATCACCAACCACATGGAGACAGGTGTAACTTGTAACCTCAGCTGGCGCATCCGTCTCCATACCCTCTCAAGTCCGGTGCCGCAGCTCTGTAGTCAAGTTAGGATAGAGCCTCAATCGGGTGTCTCGGATGAAGAGAATAACTGGGGCATTCTCTGGGCCCTTGATTGCTACATGCATGTTGATGCCATTGACATTAATGGTTTTGTGTTCTATGGAGGAGTCCATAGTCTCTGTGTTTTGGTTTCGGGTTTTTAGAGGTTTTATACTGCAAGAAAATAGGGTGTGTAGTTGCTGGGTGGGTGTTTGGTGAGGAGATGTATAACGAACATTAAGCATTCCTACCAATGAGCTTAGTAACATTATTGTTTAGGACACGAACTAGATTTTTAACCGCGTTAATATAAAGTTATTTTATAATTATAGTTTTAAAATATATATTATATTTTTAATTTATTAAAATATATCAAATCAAAAATAAAATAAAAACTATTTTTTTAATTTTGTGTTTAACTAAATATTCGTTATGTTTTTCCTTTTTTTTTTCTAACAAAACATAATTTATTCTTTTATATCCAAATTGTTAATTAAAACCTTATGAGAAAATTCAAAAATTCATGAATTCCTAACTAAAAACTTTTCTTATAATTTTTTTTAAAAAAAATCTAAGACAAATTATCTAAAAAACCCTTTTAATATATAGATTATATAGCTAATTAACCAGCTGCTACACGGCTAGTCGGACATTATAAAATCATTTTAAAATTTTATAACTTTATAAATAAAATTTTAATAAAATTTTTTATTTTTTTAATTCTTCATTAATATTGCAGTTTAAATTTTTTCTTCATAAATTTTCTAATAAAAAAAAAATGATTCATTCTTCTTTAGGCATTGAACCTTAAATAAAAATTTGTGTTAATTTAAACTAAAATATTAATGAAGAATAAAAAAACCCAAAAAATATATATATTTTTTTTTGTAAGATTATATTCAAAAAATAAAACTACAATTAATGTATAGACTTGTATACCAATTAATAAAAGAAAAAAATCATATATATATATATATATATATATATATATATATATATATATATATATATATATATATATATGCCATCATCATTTAAAAAAATTCTAAAAATTCATAAAATATATTATAATTTTTTTTTAAAAGAGAAAAAATCATGTTCGAAAATTTTATTTCAAATTTTTTTGATATATACTACACTCGTTATTTCAAATATAGAAAAATAAATAAATTATATTTGTTAATAAATAAAATTTATATAAAAATTAGATGTAATTTTCATTAAAAAAAAGATAAATTCAAAGGATAAATTTGAAACAATAAATATATATATATATATATTATTCTTAACATGTTATGTAAAAAACACAAATAATATTAATGTTTTATATTTTTTTGCTTAAAAAGAAAAAAAAAAAGGCCAATGTTTCAAGCCTGCGCGCCTTGTACTTTTTATTAGGAGATGAATGGAGCAACCTTACTCCATTTATATATAACTACAGTTATATAATCTCGTGTTTTTTTGGTCAAGAATATCTATCATTTTGTATTTTATTTATTTAAATTAATTCATAACTATTAATTAAACATCACTTGGAATTTTATATGATTTAAGTGATTCAGAAAAATTAAAAAATATATATGTATAGAAAATATCAAAAAAAAAATCATATCAAATTCAAAGTGATTGTTAATTAATATAGTATGAATTAATTTAAATGAATGGAATACAAAATATTGGAATCTTCAAAGTAATGGAATTATTTCCTTAACTATGTTCTTAAAAAAAAAAAAAAAAAAAAACAACCCTTATAGGTTTAATTGGGAAAAGTAAAATTTAATGGAAAGTTTCTTTCAATATAGGTCAACGAGTTAACGTGAGTAGCATGACATTAGTAATCATGGTCACAAAACTTCGAGCACCGCTCCCACCAATTTATGTGGTTTGGACAACCTTTGTCAAGTTAGACAGTCATTTCAGATTTTATTATAAATTCCAAAACATAAGTAATAACTGGGGCTAATTACATTTGTGGCTCCTGTAATATCTGGATTTCATTAAATGATTATCTCAATTACTAACTTAATTTTTACTAACTTAATCTTGAATAAAAACAATTTAATCATTTTTTTTTAAATAAAAGTTCAAAAAATGACTTTTAAAAAATAAAATGCGTGAAAAATTTTTAAATTTTCAAGAAATAGAAAAGGTAAATAAAATTATTATAAACCTAATACTAAACTCTAAATAGAACCAAACTAAATAAGTTGCCACCAAAATAGAATAAAAGGAAAAAATTCAAAAAAAAAATCATTTAAATGCCAAGCAAAACTTGCTAAGAAAATGTTCAAAGCTTTACAAACTCTCTGACTCTCTTATATAAGCCAAGCACCAACCAAGTAGTTCAGAATTATAACAAACCATGATGGTTCTTTTTGGTCCCCATTAAAATTGAATTATTGAGGTAATTATGTCCTTGCAAAATAGGTTCTCAGTCCCGAGCAGCTAACATCATTTGAAGCACCCAAAAACTACAAATGACGAAATGGGTGAAATAACTTATCATAGACATTTTTTTTTTTTTTTTTTTTTTTTTTTTTTTGGAGAAACCTATTATAAGGACTTTGAAGAAAGCACTTGCAAGCATTACCCCTTCTTCTTCTTTTTTCTCTCTCTCTCTCTAATTTGTATAAAAATACTTGACTTCAAACGAAGAAAAGATAAGCAAAAATAGAAATCTATGAAAGGAAGAGAAGGCAATCTCTTTTTTATTTCCTAGCCCATGCTAGCGCTCCAACCAGATCACGAGCATATACAATTTCAATTCCAGGTATCCAACCTAGCAAACATCTTTATTAGCACTCAAAAGTATACACATATATCCCTTGATTTATTATTTCTCTTAAACAATCTTCGACTTACGCACTCGAAATTCAACTTAAGGTATCTTACTTCATATATCAATCTAAATTCTAACTTAAAATTAAGATAATTTCAATCCTATATCGAAAATTAACTACTTCCATATATACTACATATATAAAGGGTATGCTCCAATTTGACATGCATTTTGAGATCATTTTCTTAATTGAAATGTTGTTGCTCAAGCAAGAGCCAAAATCCATATTGATTGTTGATGCTATAGAACATATTGCTACGATTTTCGTCTTCGACTATTGGATCAATCTTTTGGCATTGAATATTAGGCCTTGAAGAGTTTGTTTGGAAGAGTTGTGCAACACCTATAGGCTCATAGTGTGAGAACTCGAGGAGATTGTAAAGGTTTTTTCTTTTATTATGTATATCGTAAGAGTTACGGAGTTTATATATATATCATGAGTACGAGTGGTGGTTATAGGAGATAACTACTAAAGGGATACGGGGATAAGTGTACAGTTTGGATATAGATAATGATAAGGCTTTCTAAGCTAGTCACGGTGATAATGCTAATCCGTTAACACCCCCACAAGCCGTTGGACACTCCATGAGGCGAAGCTTGTCACGTAGGAAAAGGTAGCGAGTAGTGGACAAGGGCTTGGTGAAGATATCACCAATCGATCGGCGAGTAGAAATAAAACGCACCTCGAAGCTTGCCGGATGCTATTTGCTCTCTAACAAAGTGATAGTCCAACTCAATGTGTTTGGTTCTAGCATGAAGGATGGGATTGGCGAGTGAGATAGATGGCACCAATATTGTCACACCGGAGAACGACTTTAGTAGGACTTAAGAAACCAAGTTCTCGCAACAAGGAAGTAATCCACATTAATTCAAGCAATGGTGTTAGCAATTGCCTTGTATTCACTTTCGGTAGAAGATCGGGCAATTGTAGGTTGTTTCTTTGCCATCCAAGAAATCAAAGATTTTCCCAAATAAATGCCATATCCATTTGTTGAACGCCTATCATCCAGGCGACCACCCCAATCGTCGTCACTAAAGCAATGAAGTTGCATAGTAAAATTTTTGGCAAGAAAAAGTCCCTTAGAAGTTGTATCCTTCAAGTACTCGAGTAAGCGTTTTACCCCTTTCCGGTGTTCATCGACTGGGCAATGCATAAATTGACGAGTTTGTTGACGAGAGAAGGCTATATCCGGACGTGTCATGGTTAGATATTGCAAGGCCCCTACCACTTGTCTATATTGATCCTCATTAGAGAGTAACGTGCCCGAGGATTTTGAGAGAGTTGGTGTAACGACCATAGGAGTTAAACAAGCATTTGCCTTATCCATGTTGGTACGATGGAGGAGATCCCGAATATACTTTTGTTGTGTGAGTAATAAGCCCGAAGGAAGATGATGGACAACAATGCCAAGGAAGTAATACAAGCGACCCATGTCACGGACGGGGAACTCCTTTTGCATAATGATGAGAAACCGATCAACAAGTTTAGAGGAAGAACTCGTGATAATTATATCATCAACATAGCACAACAAAAATAACTTATGAGGTCCAGTATTCAAAATAAATAAGGAAGTATCCGCCTTTGAAGCGAGAAAAGCCAACTTTGTGCAAGAAAGAACTCAAGCGATGAAACCATGCTGCGGGAGCTCGCTTGAGACCATACGATGACTCTGTGCAAACGGCAAACAAATGAAGATTTATCAATATCCACAAACCCCTATGGTTGCTCCATGAAAATTTTAGCATCGAGGGTGCCATGCAAGAAAGCATTGGAGACATCCAATTGTTTCATAGGCCATCCATTCATGGAAGCAAGTGCAAGAACAATGCGAATGGAGGTAGCTTTAACAACGGGACTAAAGGTATCATGAAAGTCAATTCCAGATTGTTGGGTGAAGCCTTTGGCAACAAGACGAGCCTTGTACTCGTCAATCTTCCCATTAGTAGTTCGTTTTATTTTAAATATCCATTTATTACCTACCGCATTCCTATCCGGAGGTCTTAGAACCAAAGTCCATGTGTTATTGGTGAGGAAAGCACGTATCTCATTTGTCATAGCAGATCTGCCATTCTTTGTAAGGTTTGGCTTGGGTAAAATTTAATGGTTCAATATCAAGAAAGTTGGGTTTGGATGAATCTTTGGTTATAGAATAGGCATGTTTTTTGGTTTTGGATTACGGCGTAAGGTCATGGGATGAGTTCGTTGTGGAGCTGGGTTTGGACGTTGGGGAGAAGAAATAATAGCGAGGAGATTTATGTGTGGTATTATCGCGACAACTATAATCTCTCTTGGTGAGGAGATAGTTGTAGACAAGGACAGAGACTTTTGGGAGCCGGGATGAGATGATGTTGTGGTGTTTGTATGGGATGATGACATAGATAGGATTGAGATGGGATGTGGTCGGTGTGTTTGATCTTGAGAAGAAGATAAGGATGGAGTAAGTAACAAATTGTGAGAAGAGTTAAAGACCATACCTGCTGCTGGCACCGAGATAGAAGGGATCTGTAGTGGTCACATGTAGCCATGGGTTGTTGACGGGAGTGTCTACCGAAGGTGAATGCCGTGATGGATTTTGAAAAGGAAACGTTGTTTCAACAAATTTTGCATGGCGAGCAATATAAATACGGCCACTCTCAATGTCTAAACAACGGTGTCCACTATGAGATGAGGCATGTCTTAGATATACACACATTTTATTGCGATATGCAAATTTATGACAATTGTAAGGCCTTAAAAGTGGAAATATAGCACACCTAAATATTTTAAAATTAGTATAACTTGGTTTTTGTTGAAGTAATAATTGAAAAGGACAATAATGGTGAAGGGAAACGGGGGTAAAGAGTTGATAAGTGTAACACTAGTATTAAAGGCAAATGTCCAATATTTTAAGGGAACATTTGCATGAGCTAATAATGTCAAACTAGTATCAACTATGTGTCGAATTTTACGTTCAACGAACCCAGTTCGTTCATGAGTATATGGGCAAGCCAATTTATGAATGATTCCTTTGTCTTTGAAATGATGACGTAATTTTTGATATTCCCCTCCAAAATCCGAATGAAAAATTTTTATTTTTGCATTGAATTGGCGCTCGACCATGGATTGAAAATTAAAAAAAAATGGTAGGAACATCACTCTTATTTTTTAGAGAATAAATCCGGGTATACACGGTAAAATCATCAATAAACAAAACAAAATATCTATGACCGAGATGGAGATAATTCGGGTGCGGGACCCCAAACATCCGAGTGGACAACCTCAAATGGCACCTTACTTTTGTGATCAATAGGAGTCGAAGACAATCTAGACATTTTTCCTAAAGGACATGAAAGACACGTACTTGGGTGATTTTGAAGAGTAAGGAAGATTATTCGTATGAAGTACTTGTTCGATGTTGAGGATGGCCAAGACGAGCATGCCAATCACCAAATGAGACCTTTTCACCAACCAATGCTTGTTTCGGTAACGGTGGAAACACATACGAGTCCATTGCTACTCGGGCCTTGTAGCAGGATTTCCTTGGTCACTCGATCCTTAATCAAGAAATAAGATGGCCAAAATTCAAAATAGCAAGAATTGTCGACGATAAATTTTTGGACGGAAAGAAGATTTTTAGTAATTTTTGAAACTAACAAGACATCATTGAGAAAAAAAATTTTGTTGGTGTAGAATAGACAATACGACCGAGTGAGTTATGTGCAAACCTTGTCCATTACCCACACGGATTTGGTCACTTCTGGATAGTCATTGGCATGGCTCGGGTTGGACAAATGCGGTGTGATATGGTGGGTAGCTCCGATATCGGGGTACCGGGGTAAGAGTGGATATTGGTGCTTGGAATGCTTCTTGTGAATGTATAGGAGTGGAAGTAGAAGGCTTGCGATGAGAGGTGTTTCCGAGTCCATGCTAAATTAGCTTCGTGCATTTGGAATTTGTCGAGGAGCATAACGTAGGCGACACCTATCGGTTGTGTGGTTATGAAAACCACGGATTTGGCAAGGACCTTTGTTTCTACAATTTCCATAATTGATGGAGACGAGTATTACGATGGGTATTTGTATTTGAGGAGGCTGATTGGTGGTGGGGAACGAAGGTTTGTATGGTCGAAAGGGTGGCTTATAGGCAATGTTAGCTAAGGGTCCTTCTTTAGTCTTGTTTAGGAGAATTTCGTGAGCAAGTAGGCGACCATGCAATTCATGGAAGGAAACGAGTTCGAGTCGAAGGTTGAGGGCGGTAATGATTGCATGAAAGTCACCGCCAATATTACGATATATTATGGCATTGAACTCGGCGACGGACACGGTCCTTCCGGCGACGAGCAAGTTCATCAACAAGGGCTTTCGCTTTGTGAAGATATTGAGATATAGTCAAGTCATTTTTCTTTAGCTCTTGCAATTCAATGTTAAGTTGCAATCGTCGGTTCCGAGATACGGAACCAAATGCATTTGCTAATGCATTCCACGCTTGATAAGAAGATTGTAGGCCAATAACATATGGAAAAACCTCCTCGGATAATGAAGAGAGTATCCATGATAAGAGAAGTTGATCCTTTTGAAACCATGCTTCATATGTAGGATTTGACGATGATTCGAGTTTCATCGGTAGGGGAGGTTATAGTTTTTGGAGGAGCGGTTAGGGTACCATCAATGTAACCCGTGAGATGTTGATAGTTTAGGAGAGGAAGAAATTGTGTCTTCCGAGCTAGGTAATTTCTAGATGAGAGTTTAACGGAAAAGGTATGATGAGTGGAGGTTTGAGTCGTTGTTTAGATTTGGTGATGCCGGGGTAATGTAAGAGTTATTGTTTGTTGGATTTGTCGACATGGTGAAACTCAAATACCGATACTCGGATACCGATACTAAATAAGAGGCTCGATACCATGTGAGAGAACTCAAGGAGATTGTAAAGGTTTTTTCTTTTATTATGTATATCGTAAGAGTTACGGAGTTTATATATATATATCATGAGTACAATCGGTGGTTATAGGAGATAACTACTAAAGGGATACGGGGATAAGTGTACAATTGGATATAGATAATGATAAGGCTTTCTAAGCTAATCACGGTGATAATGCTAATCCGTTAACACATAGATTATGGCAAAAAAAAAAAAAAAAGGTCCGATCATTGGATGATAATTAGATAAAAGGTCGTCAATACTTGGCACCTTTGAGATATCCAACTTGATTTTAGAACAGTTTTCAATTCCTAAATTTTTATTTTTTATTTTTCAAGTTTCAACAATATATACTATAATTAATTGTAGAATATATATAATAATAGTTTGAGGTATATAAACTTATTGCATCTAGAAGCTAGTTTGAAGCCTGAGCGAATGTATTTATATGCAAAATTACTAATTACTGGATAAAAATCTGCATTTTTCTAGATGATTATAATTTTTCCTATTAAAAAATAAAAGGGGTTGCTCCGAATTCAATTCCACTTGATGCAATGGACTAATATGGATTAAAAAAGTGAATAAAAATGTTTGAAAAGTAAAGTTGACATATACAAAACCGTACAACTTAAAATGCTTGATCAAATAGCACGATTTTCGAGAAATTAACAAAAATATTCATAATATTATGGGATCAAATCATGTTTCTATTACTTTTCAGCATCTGCAATCCAAGGAATCACATACAAACTTGTAAAGAGAGAATTACAACTCAGTCCCAATTTATCAAAATTATTTAATTAGTTCTTGTACTATAAAAAATAATTAAATAATTCCTTAATTACTGTTGATCATTTGGGTTTCTTTGTTAAGGTTGATAGATTCAGCTAGTTCTCTATTTTTCAGTCGCAATATCTGCAATCAAAAATTAACCAATCAACCTATATTGTAGCAACACAAAATACAATCTTATATTTCCTATAATGAGTTCTCTTGTTTATCAGCTTTGAAGTTACAAATGATAGCCAGCCACCTGAAATAAGGGGAATTTGAACAAAACATGGAAGAGTTTTGTCAAGGAAAAAAAATTCAATTATCTTTTTATGCTAAAATCCAAAGCTTCCAAGTTATGCTAGAGACAAAGCATTTAAAATATGAATGATATTTCAAAAGTAGTTTGTCAATGCACAAAAATCTTTAGCAGCCTGTACACATATGGTAATGCATATAAGAAAATAAGCATTAAAAGGGAAAAAAGAACTCCCAAGCAAACATAATCGACTTTGTTAAGCTTTTTTTTTCCTTGCATCTCTAGCTTTCATTGCCAAAGTGTATATAATGTAAATGGAGAAGACTGAAGAGTGTAATGGATATGGATATTCAAATCGTGTGAGAACTATCATTTTAACCTTTTTCGGTGATGGAGGCAATGAAGCCTCGCTTGAAGTGCCCAGGTGATGGCCTTTAAGGCCCTTGGTTCTTCCAGCACAAACATTAAAAGATTGACTTAATACACAGAGAGACAAAATCTTTAATGGAAAAGCAAATTCCAATAATAAAAAAACAACTAATTCTTTACAAAAACATAAGCTAATTGTTCAACCATATAAAAACTTCCTTTCTTTTGCGTTCTAACTCATTGTCTATGTCGAAGACAGTCTCAAAATGATAGCAAACCTGAAAATTCCCCACACAATAAAACATTATTAGAGAAGTAAAAATAAACAAAAGAAGCAAGGCCAAATGTTAAAAACCATGAATGAATCAGCTCACTTTGCATCGCGATCTGACAGAATTTGAGGAATCGATCCTTCAGGGAAACTTAAAAGGGAAAAGGATGGACCAGGCATCGCTGCTCAAGACTGAGAAAAAGGTGTCTTTACTAACATAGGTTGCCTTCGTGGAAGAGCTAAAAAAGGTAAGTTGCTTGGTAGCTCCGCTAATGTTGGTGCTGATGACACTTTACCTAATGGAGGTTGTGTCCATGATGATGGCGAGCATCTTAGTGCATTATCACTCTCTAGGGTTGCAATAGCCACTTCTTTCACCAATGTCACTGGCTTCAGTCTCATAGTAAAACCTTTTCTTCTCTCTTTCATCTTATGCACTAATGTAATCTATAGAGATTAGAGAATCAGTTCTGTATGTGCATAGTATGCTCTCTAAGGCTTATAACCATCTTATTTCACTTGCGACATATCGCGATGTTATCTTAATCCTTTAATGGACTAATTCCCCTGCTTATATTTGTGGCCACTATACATTAGGTCACATAATGTGGTTATTGACCTAAGTTGGGGATCGAGAGTTTGAATAAGCAGATGCTCCATGTATTTGTTGATGGAAACTATAATCTTAAAGCTTAGATAAGATCAACATTAGGAAAGGAAATAAAAATAAGAACTCATGTAGGCAGGAAGAATATATGTGTGTTTGAGAGAAAGAGAAAGAGAAAGAGAGGGAGACAAATCTGAGCATGTTTAGCACAAGGAGTATGTGGCTGTCATTGGAGAGTACTTGTCCATGCTATTGAGTGAGATAGTGTTGGAGCATACGGGGTGGTGGGTGAGAAAATGTTTTTCCACGACCAGTAACAGGGAGTGCACTACACTCAAAGAAACATAACATGCTTATGCCAGTAAAGTTAAGCTTTAATTTCGACAAACTTTTCTGTTCAATATACCTTGCCAAAGTTCATGCAACTAATTACAGACAACAAACGATACCTAGCTGGAATAAAATCTATGTTTTGTATGTTGGGTTCCATGAATGATCTGCCATTTTTATATGTGAAAATGACTTCATATATACATATAGCTAAAACACATGCAGGACCATTTCTTCTTGGGTCAATGAAGTTGCATCATCATGGCTAGCCCTAAGTTAAGAGTTTAGGATTGGATATTTTGGATGTGAAATCATGACAATAACATTAATTCTTTTAGGGAAAAAACATGTGTGCAACTTCCTATAACCTTTTACAAACTCCTAACATTTCATCATATTGAAGAGCCATACATGTCTTTCCAAGTTTGCTTTGATTTTAGGCCTACTCTAAAAGAGCTTTTAAGTTTGTATTTTTTTTTGTGTCATGGATGCAAATTTCTAGTTGAAGCCTCGGTGAAGTGTGCTATTTAATTTTTTTTTTATTGGTTTGGAAGAAATCTATCAATGTAACTTATATATTTGTTCAATTATATCCTTGTACGCAAGGAGAGCAAATTTTTTCTTTGGCAGGAAAAAGAAAATTTATCAAGGATAATTAAAGCCCTTTTTTATTTCGACATATATGACAAGATAAAAGGAGAAGTTTAAAATTATGGAGGGCAAGCGACCGTTTACATAACCGAGTTTGGCCCCTGTTTTTATAAAAAAAATCTATCAATTATAACATTTAGTTTATTCTTATTTTTTATTTTATTACGAAATCTATCAATTATAACATTTAGTTTATTCTTATTATTGTTATTTTTAAATCAAGAATCATGTGCATTTTCACAGGTATGAAAAAACATAAATAAATGTACATCTTTTAGCAAATGATTTATAATTTATATATTCTTTGTTCTAAATACATTTTACTAGCCTATGCTTGTGAATTAAAAAAACTCATTCGCTTGTTAAATTCTTTTTACATGCTCTAGAAAAGAAATTTAAGTCAATACATAGCATTAAGTGCAATGCATTAATTTTGACAGCAAAATTTGACAGACAACTATAGTAGAAAATATAAATAACTTAAAGATTGTAATTAATTGATTTTTTTGCATAAGAATACGATTAAGAAAAACTATTTTAATTCAATGATGTAGTAGATTTCATTTTCTACAAGTGGATGACAAAATAAATTAAAACAGTACAATTTTGCACTCTCCGTGTCAATAAACGATGAGTAGTTCAAAACGGTTTTTGCAAGAAAAATAGATTTGGTTACTCTCGAACTAATAATACTCAGCAAATGGTATTTATAACGTGAAATGTGTGGACAAATTAAAATATAAATGGTTTTCTTTACTCTTTCTTTCATATCTTTTTATTTTTATTTTATTTTTATCTTGAATTTGGTTTTTTATATTGGGTACTGTTAAATTCACCATATTAATTGTTATTCCCACCATTTATTTTCTAGACATTTACTGATATATCCTCTTTTAATGTTTCTTAAATAATAGTTATATATATTTTACATTAAATACCCATCAACTTTATTTTCTCATCTCATTTCACGTTTAAAACACAAACATAGCAAAAAAATTTTACAGCTCAAACCATTCAATATAACAAAGGGAATTATGAAACAACTTGGAGACAAAGAAGAATTGGAGCAGCTAGAGTTCAATGGATCTATTGATGGTATTAACCTTTAATCTCATTTTCTGACTTTCATCTTTGATTTTACTTAATCTTTTAAATCTTTTTTATAGTGGGTCTTTTAGACTTTGGGTTTTTTTCTTAATTTATTGTGTCTGAAAAACGTGATTTTTTTTATATTGGGTCTTACAAACTCATCATTAGAAAGGATAGGATTTTCTATTTGAAATTTGAACTTTTACTGCTTATGATTTTGTTAAATGAGCTATATCTACTGCATGCGATCATGAATTTTCCATCGTCTTACATAGGCGTTACAGGAGGAGTTAAAGTCTAAGCCAGGATCTCATCCCTTTGATGAGGTGTGTTACCTTTATCTTTGACACTTTGTTCTTATTGGGATTATAAAATTTTCATGTGATCATTGGACTTCTCTGTATGCTTGTTTCCACCAGATAAAGAAAGCATATTAGACTGCTTTCTCTTTACTAAGAACCATTTAGGGAGTACGAGTTAACCTTGAATTCTTGAGTTTGCCTATTTTTTATCATTCATATTTTATACAAAAACTCCATTTTTATTGAGTAGGTGATATATTGAAGGATACCAATATATTTCTATGAATTTTTGTTACACTGATGCCGTAGAAAGAGCTTGGCAGATTCTTGATCAAATTCCTAGAAGGGCCATTGCTGCTTATAGTCACAATCAGGTTATAATCAAAGCTTTCACCTTGTGGACTTTAAAAATGGAATATTTGTGATGTAGATAGCATGACTTACATTTTCCCTCTCCACATCAGGGAATCAAAGGGCTACGTGATACAATTGCTGCTGGAATTATAATCTGTGATGGCTTTCCTGCTGATCCAAATGATATTTTCTTGATAGATAGTGCGAGTCCAACGGTAACATTTAATCCCAAATAAACAGAGGCACTTGCATGTATTATACTCACATCATATGAAACTAATGGTGCTTCTTTATTCCCAGTTTCATATGATGATGCAGTTACTGATACGATCAGAGAAGGATGGAATACTTTATCCCATTCCTCAGTATTCCCTCTAATCTGCTTCAATTGCTCTCCATGCTGGTACTTTGGTATGTCTTCTGATAAAAAAAAATGCTATTCAGAAACTCAAGTGAAGTTATTTGGTTAGTTATTCTGAAGTGTTGAGTTTTAGGTGACTTGTGGCTGTAAGCCAAGCAAGGTTTAATCCAATCTGCTAGTTGCTAGTTGACCTTCATCAACTTTTCTTGTAGCATAGAGTTGAAATGCACTTGATCTAATAGAAAAGTTTGAATATTACCATGTCATTGAACTTTTGAGTTTGAAAGTAGAACTTTATGCTTCTTTCAGGCTTCGTACTATCTTGATGAAGCAGCTGGGTGGGGCTTGGAAGTTTTTGAGCTTAGTTATTGTTCGTGCAACGGAGCCAATCACTCTCTGGCTTGCTTTTATAATTTGACTTCATCGTCCTCTGTAGTTAATTGTCATGTAAACCGTAATGGCATAGTAACAGGAAGCGTTGCTCAATGTAAAGTAAACCGCTACTTTTGAAATGCAGGAGATTAGACCATTTATCACATTCATATTACCTGATGATAATGTGTATTTACTTTGGAAATCTTCACAATTTCCTTTTATCTTCTAGCCATATGATGAGGTTTGCTTTTCGTAAACATGATAAATCTCAGAATGTCGATGCTTAATCCTCACAAAAAGCAAATTTTAATGGAAAACATACAAAACAATTCATTAAGTAATAATTTCCAAGAGCACAGACCAGTTGGTGCACGAACAAACAAGATATGCTCGCTTAACTAGTTCGGGAACAATAAACGGAGAAAAGTAAATTTTTGCCAGTGTTCTATGATGCGTATCCATCCCAAGTCAAAACGCAAACAGGGAGCTGCCTTGATCTTTACAGCAGCCAGTTTTTTTCCCTGTCAAGCACCACAAGTATAATGTTTAGTTGAAAAAGACAAGATATTAAATAGGTAACGGTATGAGAAAAATATTGAACACAATCCAAAAACAAAAAACATCATCTCCAGACTTTAATAATTATTGATTGTAAACGTTCATGGCCTTAAGAATGAAAATAAAATATATAAAAAAAAGAAAGAAATACAATAGAGCCAAATCATAAATTGAAAGAGAAAGTAAAACATATAGAAAAATAATTTAGATATGTTTTGAAAAACTCATACCGTAGTTCTTTATCCATCAAGAAAACTAGATGATGAGGTTGTAATCGAATTGAAATCAATGATCTCTTTCAATTCATCACAATCATTCTTTTGAGGACAAGTACGACAATCATGACCGCTTTTCTTGCAAGTACTGCATTTCCGGACTCTTTCCACCAATTAAAATGCTCGAAGGATTACGTCTTGTGCAATTAGATTTTTTCTTCTTTGAACCCAATGGACAACCCTTGTGAGCATGGATTCTAGGTTCAAGAATCAAATATGATGACGAATTCACAAACCGAGAAATTTGTTTTTGAACATTTTCCTTCTACACTAGTGGTAATTGATGATATTTATCTTGTAGTCCTTGCAAAAGAGTTGCAATTTTGTCTTCATTATTTCCCAAACCACCATTAGTTTCGGTGAATGATTTTGTATCAATTCTCCACTCGTGGATGCACATCATCCGAGTCGTAATTCTTCACCTTGCATCATTCTCATCTTGTGTGCACAAAGAAGGCCCACTGTTTTCGAAAAATGACCTCTACAAATTGATGGTAGAG